ATATACAATGGATAGAATATTCTCTATTAACAAATGTACAAGAGATGACGCCATTACGCCATGGATGCACGCATATATATATTAATATATAGCAGAATGGAATGAATTGACTCAAAAAAATAGTTAATGAACAAGACAACCAATTGTTTCAGGTAAGCAAGTTTGTGCTAATCACACAATTTGACGACTGGTGGTGTGTGGTTTTTGACCAAAGATTCAACCATACGACTTGTGGTTTCTGTCTGTAATGTGCACAATTTGCGAATAATCTGATAATTAATAACGGCTTAATCAACATTTAGAATTTGTTAATACTAACTATACGTACGCGCTTTATCGAATTTCAATTACACCTCATTGAGTGAATCGTTCTGCGAGTAGGTGAAGATAATCAGAAAACTCACAGTATTTTTTCTAATCCTCGGCATGGCATAGAATTGTGCAGTTTTTGTGAGAATAAACGTATTTTGATCACATGTGTTATACGATTCTTCTTGTGACAGTGATACATGCAATGTCTTCCAAATAAACGTTCTAAACTTTCAATTTTATACGTATGTAAATACATGATTACATGTGACGGTAACGAAACGTTTTTAACTGTCATAATCGGCAGTGCAGTAATTTATTACGTGTAATACTATTTATTGTATCATGAATAAAATTCAAGTGTATATGAACGATATAATATAAAGACGAATGCAAGTGGTAATATCACAAGTGACTTGCGCTTAAATAGATTAGTTATTTCTTATGCTAAAACTTACAAACGCTGAAGTAGCATATATTTAAAACAAACCCAGTTGTTTATACGCAAGTAGGGTTGATATCATAATTGTTGTCTTCGCTATTCCAATCCGACATACACGTCCATTCGGAATGGACATAAATTCCAAACCGACATACAACGTGCACGTTTAATAGCATTCTGCATCCACAATTCATAACGACGAATAGCTTCTTTTCCAAAGTAGGAATTACTAACTTCTACTTTTAAGTTCTATATAGTCTTTATGACTAATATTACAATATGCAGAAAGTATGAAAACGTATCATAAAAATAGTTTGATTAGCGGGTTTACGTATGTGGCAATTTAAAATCCATATTAATATGCATAGCAAAACGATTACAAAGTTGGAAATGACGTAGGATATCAATTTCAAGTTGGCGATAGCCATTTCTATCTTGGGAAAATCATGTGGTTTTATCTCAAAAATTTTATAACTACAGGCTTGATTTACCGTTTATTGCCACTTTTTTGAGTATTAATATTCGATGTAATAAATACTAATTACTAATAAGATTAGTATCTTTTTTTCTTTATAAAAAGGTCATGAATTTTACTTTGAAACTTAATTATCAAATTTCAAATCATGAATCGAAATTTTATTTTTGTGTTTCTTTTATTTGCTACGCTTTCTGTAGTCAATGGAGATAGAACCGTATGAAATACATGTTGGGGTCTTGAGGCCTTTCCAAAAATTGAAGCAGTTATAACACCTGATCCTCCGGTTCGAGGTCAAAAAGAGATTTTCACGGTTTTTGGGACGGTTCCAGCAACTATCAATCAAGATAACGAAGTTTACTTACGCTTCTTCAGTGAAGGAGATGTTATTGCCTCCTTTCATATACCTGCCTGTGGACCTAATAGTCTGCAACAATGCCCAATTAATAATGGAAGCTTTTTCATAGTACCTTTTTCAGTTCAGGTGCCCGACTATTTGCCCAACCCCTACGACATGATGGTTCAAGTTGGGGATCCAGACCATATACCTTTAGGTTGTGCGGTTACCACTATTAGAAATTAAGTTTTTTCTAGGCCAGCATTATATATTTTTTTTTTATTATTTTAATATACTTTTTTTTAACTATCTATAGTTAAAATATTGTAATTTATTATTTTTTTTTATTTATTTTAATATGCTTTATTTTAACTATCTATAGTTATAATATTGTAATTTTTCGTTTATTTTGAGTTGGTTTTATTTTATTTTCTAGTAAACAGTAATAATATGCAATTACCTTTATAATAATTTTTCTCATGTTTTTACAACGACCAAGTTAATAATTTAGATAAAAAACATACCATTTTGTGTATATTTGAACTGTTATATGACATCTTTCTGGTCGTGTACAAGAAGCTTTAAAATTTGCATGTATTTTTTCTGCTTAATAAAAATATTCGGCTTTTTAATTTTATTTATACAATTTTTATCATTTATATAATAAATTACAAAAATGAGTAAAACACATGCAGAAGGTCATAAACCATTTGAATTAGCATTTTGTATTTAATTCTATAAAGGACTAATATTTGGTAGAAACAAAAATAAAGTCATATATAAATATTTATAATCCTTATTTATAGTAAAGTCATTAATCGATATGTTCTGACCCAAATCGAAATTGACCCAATTCGGAATAGGGTCGACCCAAATCGCGATCGCGTTTCGGGTTGGC